CAGTTCGATAGCTTGCTACATCCTGGACATCAGTAAAGAAAATTCCTGTTGCCACAGCAATTACCATCTTCTCTGGAGACGAGGATAAGCAGAAGATTAAAATACAGTGACAGTCGAGATAACAGCGATATTTGGGTTTATAGAAGGAAAGAAAGGAGGAGGAAATGCCGTGAGAAGGATGTCATAGAATAACAGGTTTAGAAGGGACCTTGGGGGTCCAAACCCCTAACCATGACAGGAGACCGTACACCATTCTGGATAAATTGGCGCTAGGTAAGAGTCTTGTCTCTTCTTGAAAATCTCCAGAGATGGAGCAGCCATAACTTCTGGATTGATTAATTGCTCTCACTGCCAGGAAATTTCTCCTTAGTTCTAGATTGGATCTGTCTTTGATGATAACAGAATAACAGATTTGGAAGGCCCTTGGAGATCTTCTACTCCATCGCCCTGCTCAAGCAGGAAACCCTATACGATTCCAGACAAATGGCTGTCCAATGTCTTCTTAAAAACCTCCATTGATGGAGCACCCACAGCTTCTGGAGGGAAGCGGTTCCACTGATTAATTGTTCTCCTTAGTTGTTTCTCCTTAGTTCTAGGTTGGTTGTTTCTCCTTAGTTCTAGGTTGGTTCTCTCCTTGATCAGTTTCCATCCGTTGCTTCTTCTCCTACCTTCTGTTGCTTTGGAGAATAAGTTGACCCTCAATTTTCTGTGACGGCCCCTCAAGTACTGGAAGATATCTATCATATCATCCCTAATCCTTCTCTTTCTTAATCTAGACATACCGAGTTCCCTCAATTGCTCATTGCACGATTTAGCCTCTAGACCTCTTTCGAAAGCCAACCTTTGCTGAGTCGAGACCACGCGCTTTCTCTAAAGGGAGCATAGATGCTACCTTTAGGAGAAGTCAGCAAGTCTTGCTTATTTTAGAAGCAGCTGTCTTTGCCTCCTAAAGAAAGAGTCAATCCCATAGTAATCGACCATCCGCTGTTTATGGAGCTGAAAATAGCTGCACTGCAGGTACTTCCATAGGCTGGAATATCTCAGACAGATGTTTTGAAGAACAGCACATTTGCATGATGTGAACGCTGAGATTAGCAAATGGGCTTGCCTCCTCTTCTGTGGACGCTTGAAGCTTGCTCAGGTAGCCCGCGGCATCTCATGTCAGGCCCAGATTGGTTGAGACAGATGCAGGTTTCAGCTGAATAAACTGAGTGCAAGATGCTTGTATACCTGGGACAGAGGGGCATGATACCTTGGACAGTTCCAAAGAAGCCCTCCTAGCTGGAATTCTTGGCTAAATGTAGGAAGATGTCTCGGGGAGCTAATAAAAGCATCAGGTGGGTTATTAAAGCTTACACTGTAATTAGTTCCGTGCCTTGGATGATCGGATGCAATTGTTAGAAAGTTCCTCACTTGATTTTAAAATAGCTGATTTTGAAAAATAATAATAATAATAATGCTCTGCCAAGGGCTGTGGTGGAATATAGTCTGGATTCCCAGGAGGGAGGAAGTGCATTCCAGAGGAATAAGAGATAGCAAAGTTTGGACGGGAGAGAGTCAGGAAGGCTCCAGTGTGGAAGTTCTCACAGTACATCTTTAAAGATGCATAGAGTTGCTTTAGTTTGGCAAGATTCTGTCTGTAGGTGAGAAAAACAATGCAGGAAACTGACTAGATATAACTCTGCATGTCTTCTTGGTTTTTTGAGTCTGATATCAGGCGCAAAGAATCAGGACCATTTGTATAGCTTGCAGCATAAATACACAATAACCTAGTCAACTGATGGTCAACAGTGCAATGACACTAAATAAGAGTCAATGGAATTCAACGGGGGGGGGGGGGAAATTGGATCTACTCGTCTCCTGCACTGACCTCAATCTTGCCAAACTCAAGCAACTGCTGGCACCATTAAAGATGTATTCTGAGAATTACTGGGAAGAGCCTTCTTAACTCTTTTCCTCCCAACCAAACGATCTAAACTTCGCCGTCTCTTATTTCTATGGGATGCATTCCCTGGGAATCCAGACCACATTCTCCCACAGGACTCCACCTCTGAGACTTTAGAGCACTGGAGGCTAAAACATACAAAGAACAGTTGCAGAGATTGGATATGCCTAGTTTGATGAAAAGAAGGACTGGGGTGAAATGAGCAGTGTTCCAATATCTCAGGGGTTGCCCCAAAGAAGAGGGAGTCAAGCTATTCTCCAAAGCCCCAGAAGGCAGGACAAGAAGAAGCAATGGATGGAAAGTAATCAAGGAGAGAAGCAACCTGGAACTAAGGAGAAATTTCCTGACAGTGAGAACAATTAATCAGTGGAATGGTTTGTCACTAGAAGTTGTGGGTGCTCCATCACTGGGGGTTTTCAAGAAGAGACTGGACAGCCGTTTGTCTGGAATGGTGTAGGGTTCCTGCCTGAGCAAGGGGTTGGACTAGAAGACCTCCAAAATCTCTTCCAACTCTGTTATTCTGTTCATCTGATGAGAGGATAGTCAAATGCTGAATCTTCCAGTCAGAAGATCTACAAAGGCAGTGAGGCTCCTTCTTCTGAGAAGTGATCTGAGCTTAGAGCGGCATCAAACTCTTCCATCGCACGCTAAGAGATTCCCTATCCCAGTGGTTCTCAACCTGTGGGTCGGGATCCCATTTGGGGTCGAATGACCATTTCACGGGGGTCGCCAAACAACGCAGTCCGCCATTTCCCCCCCCCCTTTTCCTTAGCTGTGCTACTCCCTTTTATTCTGTTGGCTTTTGAAAGCCAATAGAATAGACTCTCTTGAATAGAGTCTAATTCTATTGGCTTTCAAAAGCCAACAGGAATTGTCCAGGCTGTCTCTGCCCTACTGAGCCCGCCAAAAGCCCCATTCTGCAAACGGTGCTGCACCAGTGGAGTAGTCCTCGACTTACGACCGGTTGAGTAGTCCCCGACTTACGACCGGTTGGGGGTCACGACATTAAAAAGGTTGAGAACCACTGCCCTATCCATAGCAAAGGTCACGGCTGGGTGGCGATGGAGTCCTGGTTCCAGTTCTAGTCCCTTGTTCTGATTGTCACATGTTCTGTCCCATCACATTTCATTTCCATCCAAGCTGAACAAGGTAGTCATGGCGATGGCCGAGGTGCCTCACTGCAAAACTTCCATTAGACCTGCAAATGTTGCTTCAGCATTCTCGTCATTACTTAAACCTATTATGGATGATTAGCAACTCGGTGCAACCGTAAATAGCCTGAGAGAGGAGCTAAGACAATTGAAGCGTGGTGTGAAGAGGCCCTTTTGATTCTTTGTGTTCCTGCAACTCGGTCCCCTTTTGTGTTGTCTCCATTTTCCCTCCTTTTCTGAGTGCAGCGTATCCCCATCTGCTAAAGAGCACCTTTCGTCTGCTCAGCATGGAGTAGCCGCGGCTAATATTAAGATCTCTCCTTACCCTCCATTGAGTCTCCAAATTGATGAGCTGCCAGTTCCGACAAAGTAGAAAATCAAAGATGGAGGCGTGTGCTGAGGCAGTAATCCAAGATGTTTTCTTAGTTGGTTGAGAAAATTAAATGTCAGCCCAGGACGCATGAAGGTCATTGAATTTTATTACCTAAAGTAATGTACACAAATCTGCCTTGACACATCCATTTGTTAAGGAGGAACAGGCCATTCACCGGAAGCTGGGTGTGGATATGTAGATGAGTGAGACTAGGTGGCAGGAGGCATCAACCATAGGATGAATGACTGAAGGAACTAGGTCCGTCTAGTCTAATGAGGAAAAGGACTAGGGGTGACATGATAGCATTCTCCCAATATTTCAGGGTCTGTCACAGAGTAGAGGAGGTCAAGCTGTTCTCCAAAGCACCTGAAGGCTGGAGAAAACGCAACAGATGGAAATTAATCAAGGAGAGAAGCAACCTAGAACTAAGGAGAAATTTCCTGAGAACAATTAATCAGTGGAACAACCTGACTCCAGAAGTTTTGAATGCTCCAACCTTGAAGGTTTTTAAGAAGAGATTGGACATCCATTTATCTGAAATGGTATAGGGCTTCCTGCCTGAGCAGGGGGTTGGACTAGATGACCTCCAAGGTCGCTTCCAACTCTGTTATTCTATTCTATTTTGTTCTGCTTGAGCAGGGGGTTGGACTAGAATAGTTCCTAGGTCCCTTGTATTATTCTGTGTTCTAGATGAATCCTTGGTAAGGCCACACTTGGAATATGGCATCCAGTTTTGGTCACCACGATGCAAAAAAGATGATAAGACTCTAGAAAGAGTACAGAGAAGAGCAACAAGGATGATTAGGGAATTGGAGGCTAAAACATATAAGGAACGGTTGCTGGAACTGGGGATGTCTAATCTAATGAACAGGAGAATCAGGGGTGACATGATAGTATCTCAGGGGTTGCCACAAAGAAGAGGGAGTCAAGCTATTCTTCAAAGCACCTGAAGGCAGGACAAGAAGCAGCGGATGCAAACTAATCAAGAAGAGAAGCAACCTAGAACTAAGGAGAAACTTTCTGACAGTTAGAACAATTAACCAGTGGAACAACCTGCCTCCAGATGCAGTGAATGCTCCAACACTGGAAGTTTTTAAGAAGAGATTGGACAGCCATTTGTCTGAAATGGTATAGGGTTTCCTGCCTGAGCAGGGGGTTGGACTAGATGACTTCCGAAGTGCCTTCCAGCTCTGTTATTGTATTGTACTGTATTGCATTGCATTGCATTGCATTGTAATAAATTGTATTGTATTGCATTGCATTGTATTGTATTGTATTGTAATATATTGTATTGTATTGCATTGCATTGCATTGCATTGCATTGTAATAAATTGTATTGTATTGCATTGCATTGTATTGTATTGTAATATATTGCATTGCATTGTATTGCATTGTATTGCATTGCATTGCATTGTATTGTATTGTATTGTATTGTATTGTATTGTATTGTATTGTAGATGAAGCAGAATCAGAGACTTCGGCCTTTTCTGAATCCACTTCTTTCTTCCTCCCTCCTTTCCTTTTCCAATAGGATTGGCTGACCAAGTTTGGCTACCTGCCCCCAGCGGATCCCATCACAGGACAGTTGCAGACCCAAGAAGAGCTCACCAAAGCCATCATGGTGATGCAACAGTTTGGAGGACTTGAAGCCACCGGCGTTCTAGGTCAGTGAAGGACCAGGAACGGGGAGGGGGGAAGTAGTTCCATTGCTATGCCCTCAGGGAAAGGCTACCGCTTTGATGCAGACATCACGGGACAAGTCTCCAGTATCTTCAGGGGAGAACATTTTGTGCTGGAGACTTTCTAGACTTGAAGGACGGGGCCATAATTCACGGATGCCTTTTGGGCTTTCCCAGCGCAATCTCAGAAATGGGAGGCGTAAAGCGAGAGATTCAAGGACACTGTTCTTTTTTTTTATATAGAAAAAGAAAGAAGATTTCTTTCTCCCATATTTGGGCTGACAGGGTGTACATTCAAGGTAAAAATCTCCTCCTCCTGTCTCTCTCCTGATAGCTAACAGAGTGGGAGAGAACCTGTGGCTTAGAGGTTATAACAACTGCCTAACATGCAGATAAGCCCAGGTTCGAATCTCAGAAGAGTAAGTCTGGCTGAAGAGAGTTAACGGAACTCGAAATAGCTTAAAATTGGAAGTGTCTTGGCGACGTTTCGACGAAGTCCCGTTCGTCATCTTCAGGCTGGTGTTTTCGGCTTCGTACTTGCTGCTCAAAGTACGAAGCCAAAAACACCAGCCTGAAGATGACGAATGGGACTTCGTCAAAACGTCGCCAAGACACTTCCAATTTTACGCGGGAGAAAACCCGAACAACCAAAGACCTTCATATATATATATATATATTTATTTTCAATTTTACAATACATTACAATCTTAAAAATACTTCAGATAAAAAAATAAAAGAAATTGATACACACCACTTTCGGTATTGCCCACCCATTTCCCCCCAAAAACCGCATCCACCCCCCAATCAACTTGCCTCTTTCCCTCTTCTTCCTCTTCCTCACTCTCCCCCTCTCCTCCACCTTCCTGCTTACTTCTCCCCTTCTTCTACCTTCTCGCTCCGGATGCGGTCCAGGGGGAATGCCCGAGCAATTCCTCTCTCCAAATTGAAACATTAATATTATATACAGTAAAACTATTTCTAATTTATCTGAAGTGCTTAAACTTCGACCCATCCACCCCCCTCAGCCCCCTCCCCCCCGACTTCCCAGAGCAAAATACAGGATTATGCAAACATATTAAACATAATCGATTTAAGTTTACTAATTATACAACTCTCCCGATTCAAATCCTCCAGCGTTTTCTCCAGCCCTTAAGTTGCAACGGACTGAGACCCCTGGAGCCCTCGGGGGTCTCTGAGATTGCTTTGTTTTCTTGCACACATTTCATAAACCAACTAGGTCATGCTAACACTGATGATGTTACCTACTTCAGTAATGAAATGTCTGCAAGAAAGCCGCCCAGCTCAGAGGATCTCCCAATCCTCCTGCTCCTGCTCCTGCTCCTCCTCCCTGCAAACCTCACTCCCTTCCAGCACTGATGACGTTATCTAGTTGGGTCATGAAATGTCTGCAAGCAAACAGCCAAGCTCAGAGACCATCAAGGACCTCAAACTTTCTTCTTCTTCTTCTTCTTCTTCTTCTTCTTCTTCTTCTTCTTCTTCTTCTTCTTCTTCTTCTTCTTCTTCTTCTTCTTCTTCTTCTTCTTCTTCTTCTTCTTCTTCTTCTTCTTCCTCTTCTTCTTCTTCTTCTTCTTCCTCTTCTTCTTCCTCCTCCTCCTCCTCCTCCATAACCCCCCCATTCTTTCTAGAACTGATGACATTACCTAGTTGGGTCATGAAATGTCTGCAAGCAACCAGCCAAGCTCAGAGACCATCAAGGACCTCAAACTTTCCTCCTCTTCCTCCTCCTCCTCCTCCTCTTCCTCCTCCTCTTCCTCCTCCTCCTCCTCCTCCAATTCCCTGTCCCTTCTAGCATAGATGACATTACCAAGTTGGGTCATGAAATGTCTGCAAGCAAACAGCCAAGCTCAGAGACCATCAAGGACCTCAAACTTTCCTCCTCCTCCTCTTCCTGCTCCTCCTCCTCCTCCTCCTCTCCACAATGCCCCCTCCCTTCTAGCACTGATGATGTTACCTAGCTGGGTTATGAAACATCATTAAAAAAAAAAAAACCTACCAAGCTCAGACAGCACCAAGCAAAGGAAAACCGCTTCTTATATAAGATCCCTCCCTTCCCTGAATCAACCTCAAGAATCCGCGTTGCCCGGCTGATAAAACTGGCCTGCTTTTCCATCTCCTGGACCATCCTCTGCCCTCCGGCAGCCTTCTGCTCATTAGAAAGCCCCCCCTTTTGGAAACCAGGAGGATGGGATTGCTGATTGGCTGTTTAGGGACTCCGCAGCCCCTGCCCCGTTCCTGGCAGTGCCGTTGAAAGCTCTTTGCTTCAGCTTCCTAGCAGCTCTCTCGCCTTGCTTCTTAATTAAGGAGATGTAATTATTATTATTATTATTATTTTCTTTCTTTTCCTTTCCCATCTTATTAGATGCTCCGGGTTGCCTGGGGGCCAAATGAAGAACGGCTTGTCTTTATTTTTATTCTTTTTTTAAATTCATTTTTTTTCCCCCTCCAATGCATCCACTCCAAGTGTTGAAAAGGCACGCCACTTATCGTTCAAAAATCGAGCGTGCGCTTTCTCCCCTTTGCAAAGGCTAATAGAAAGAACATATTGCAAAAGTTGTTTTTTTCTCTCTCTTTTTTCTTTTTCCAGTTTTGGTTCCTTTTTTTCTTTTTTTTTTGAAAGAACAGCAGAGCCGATCTCAAGAGAAGCTCTCTGGATTGCTTTGCCATCCCTGAGTTTTTTTATTTTATATTTTCTCTCTCGCTGCAGACAAAAAAGGGTTCTTTGGTTTCCAAGGAGTTTAGCTGGTGAGGGATAGAGGAGGCTTGGAAGGACCAAAGAATAGAATAGAGCTGGAAGGGACTTTGGAGGTCTTCTAGTCCAGCCCCCTGCTCAAGCAGGAGAACCTACACCATCTCAGACAGGTGAATGTCCAGTCTCCTCTTAAAAATCCAGTGATGGAGCACCCACGATTTCTGGTGGCAAGCTGTTCCACTGGTTAATTGTCCTCGCCGTTAGGAAGTTTCTCCTTAATTCCAGGTTGTTTCTCTCTTTGATCAATTTCCAACTGTTATTTCTCGTCCTTCCCTCTGGTGCTTTGGTGAATAATGTGACCCCCTCCTCTTTGGGGCAGCCCCTCAGATACTGGAAGACTGCTATCCTGCCTCCCCTATTTCTTCTTTTCTTTAGACAAGCCAAACCCAAGTCCTGCAGCCGTTCTTCGTCTGTTTTAGTCTCCAGGCCTTGGATCATCTTAGTTGCTCTTCTCTGATTTTTTTTCAAACTCTCAACCTCTTTTTTGTGATATGGTGACCAAAGCTGGCTGCAGTATTCCAGGTGTGGCCTTACTAGGGTTTTATAAAGCGGTACTAATACTTTGCGTGATCTTGATTCGATGCCTCTGTTTAAACAACCCAGGATTATGTTATCTTTTTTGGTTGCTACTGCAACCAAGTTGAGCAGATATTTATTTTTTCCCCCTTTTGAAAATGGGAGGGGGGAAAGGGATGACTTAACGAAAACTAGAAACTAAAGCATATGATGAATGGTTACAGGTTCTAGGTATATCTAGCCTAACAAAGAGAAAGACTAGGGGGGACATGATAGCAGTCTTCAACTTTTTGAGGAGCTATCACTAAGAAGAGGGAGTCAACCTATTCTCCAAGCCCCTGGGGACAGGACAGGTTGCAGTTCATCAAGGAGAGGAGCAACCTAGAACCAGGGAGAACAATTAATCCGTGGAACCACTTACTTCCAGAAATGATGGGTCCTCCATCTAATAAAACATCTCAAAGGCTTCTACTGTTACGTTAGTATAAGTTTGTTTTTTAAAAAAAATCCCAGGTGGGATGTTATGAACGTGTCTGTATGAATTGAGGAAGACCCACTTTTCTTTCTTTTGGGGTCTTTGGGGGGGAATCTGTAGACGAAGCCACCTTCAAACTGATGAAGACACCACGCTGCTCTTTGCCGGATCTTGCAGAAGCAAAGTCGAGGAAGAAACGATATACCCAAGGAGCTAACAAGTGGAAGAAAAGGAATTTATCCTGGAGGTAGGAAATGAAATCATTCATGCCATCGCTGCCCTTTCGGTGAGTGACGATGGGAGCTCTTTTCAGGGAGGATAGTGTCATCACCTGACCCCAAAGACGCCATTTAACAAATGTTGGATGCAAACGCTCTCAAATGTGGCTTCCATTATAATGTGAAGGTGGTGAGGTTTCCTGACCCCTTAAACCTCCAGAAAAAGCTTTGGTTGGCTTGCGGTCCAAAACAGAGCTCTAGCTGGTTGGGTTATTTGGTGAGTTTGCTTTGTAGGGTTACCAATCGTGATTTGGAGAGGATTGGTCAGCACTGTGGTTTTGGGAGATAATAATAATAATAATAGTAAAGTTGGAAGGGATCTTGGAAGTCATCTAGTCCAACCCCCTGCTCAGGCAGGAAACCCTATACCATTTCGGACAAATGGCTGTCCAGTCTTTTCTTAAAAATTTCCAGTGTGGGAGCATTCACTGCTTCCGGAGGCAGGTTGTTCCACTGGTTAATTGTTCTCACTGTCAGGAAGTTTCTCCTTAGTTCTAGGTTGCTTCTCTCCTTGATTGGTTTCCATCCATTGCTTCTTGTCCTGCCTTCAGGGGCTTTGGAGAATAGCTTGACTCCCTCTTCTCTGTGACAGCCCCTGAGATATTGGAAGGCTGCTATCCTGTCCCCCCTCGTCCTTCTCTTCATTAAACTAGACATACCCAATTCCAGCAGCCGTTCCTTATATGCTTTAGCCTCCAGTCCCTTGATCATCTTTGTGCCGGACAAATGTTGGGCATGCCTAGTTGAATGAAGAGAAGGACGAGAGGTGACATGACAGCAGGGTTCCAATATCTCAGGGTCTACCCCAAAGAAGAGGGAGTCAAGCTATTCTCCAAAGCCCCTGAAGGCAGGACAAGAAGCAACGGATGGAAACTAACCAAGGAGAGAACTGACAGTTAGAACAATTAACCAGTGGAACAGCTTGCCTCCAGAAATTGGGGATGCTTCAGCACTGGAGGTTTTTAAGAAGAGATTGGACAGCCATTTGTCAGAAATGGTATAGGGTTTCTTGCTTGAATAAGGGGTTGGACTAGAAGACCTCCAAGGTCTCTTCCATTATTTGAGGGGCTGCCACAAAGAAGAGGGGGTCAAATTATTCTCCAAAGCACCTGAAGGCAGGACAAGAAACTAATCAAGGAGAGAAACCACCAGGAATTAAGGAGAAACTTCCTAACGGTGAGGACAATTAATCAGAGGAACAGCTTGCCCCAAGAAATCGTGGGCGCTCCATCACTGGAGGTTTTTAAGAAGAGACTAGACAATCACTTGTCTGAAATGGTATAGGTTCTCCTGCTTGAGCAGGGAGCTGGACTAGAAGACCTCCATGGTCCCTATTCACTATACCTCCAACTCTATTATTCATCTGTTATTCTTCTATTATTCTGTTAATGCATCTTATTGATTTGGGTGCTACATCTAGGAGACAGAGATAGAATCTGGGGTGGAGTCAGGAGAGGAATCAGCCTGGAGTTGTCACGTTCCCACAAGCAGCCTTAAGTCCAACCGCTCTTGAATTCCATTAAGTGTTATCTAGTGCCAATTTAGTGCTGACTATTAGTTGACTAGATTCTTGTTCCAATTGGCAAATGAATCCAGACTTTGCAGTTTCCCAAAAATACCAAATAAAGCTGTCAACATTGAAGACAGAAAGTAGAAAGATCTAGGAATTAGGCTGGGGAAAATAGAAGTGGGTGTTTTCACAAGACGGGTTATGACTCACAAGGTCCAGACCTCAGCAGCACTTTGGTCGTTTGCCCTTTCACGAAACCCTCTTAAATACCGCTCCCTTGCCACCGAGGTCTTCCGATCTGAAGGCGGATCATGTAGGAAAAAGATCCATTTGGGCACCGGGCGTGATTTATTCCCTCTCTAGGACTCTTAAGATCAACGTGAACTGGAGAGATTTCTCTCCCCCCTCCCCCAGAGAGAATTTTGCATGATGAACAAGTTCTCCAGTTGGCTTCTCTTGACCTTAGCGACTCATCCAAATTCAGCGATGTGGCCAGAGCGCCCCCTACGGCCCCGTGTGGGAGTTTGTGGAGGTTGATGGCAACGACCAAGAAGGGCGTAAGAAAAGAGAGCGTGGTGGAAGCCCTCTTGAAGAGTCCTCGGGCTACTGCTCCATCGATGGAGGTCTTCCAGAAAAAATTGGACAGCCCGTTTGTCCAAGATGCCAGAAGGTGCCAGGCAAAGGGTTGGACTGGAAGACCCCCGAGGCCCCTTCCAGCCCTAGGATTTATGCCGCTGGGTTCCCGAGCAGCAGCCTCCTAGCTTTTCAAAAGGTCTTGCAGAAGGAGCCTCTTCTCCAAAGGCTGCACCCCAAAGACAGGGGCTACAGCCATCCGTTGGAGCTGAAGTGAGAAGAAGCAGAACTCTTCTTCGTGGAGAACTGAGAAGCTCCGGATTCCAAGATCTTGGATTCTGTAGCTCTTCTCAAGGGTTTTACGGCCAGCTGTTGAAGGTCAACCAGATGGCTACGATCCAGTTGTGTTGAGCCCTTTCAAGGTCAGCAACTGAGCCAGTAGCTGCTGCCGAGGTTGTTGGTGTTGTTGAGGTTGGTTCGATGAAAATGGAGCAAAGAGTAAGAGTGAGAGGAAGGGCCTACTACTTGTTTGTTTCCCGTCTTCCTCCCCTCCTTCTTCCTTCCTCCTCTTCCTCCTCCCCCTCTTCCTCCTGCCTTCCTTCTCCTCTTCCTCCTCTTCCTCTCTCCTCCTTCCTCCTTCTCCTCTTCCTCTTTCTCCTCCCATCCTCTTTTTCCTCCTCCCTCTCTCCCTCCTCCTCTTCCTCCTCCCCTCCTCTTCCTCTTCCCTGCTCCTCCTCCCCTCCTCCTCTTCCTCTCTCCTCCTTTTCCTCTTCTTCCTCCTCCCCTCCTCCTCCTCCCCTCCTTCCTTCCTCCTCTTCCTCCTGCCTTCCTTCTCCTCCTCTTCCTCTTCCTCCTCCTCCCCTCCTCCTCCTTCTGTCCTCCTCCCCTCCTCCTCCTCTTCCTCCTGCCTTCCTTCTCTTCCTCCTCCTCCCGTCCTCCTCCTCCCCTTCCTCCTCTCCTTCTCCTCTTCCTCCCCTCTTCCTCTTCCTCCCCCTCCCACTCCTCCTCCCCTCCCCTCCTTCTCTCTCCTCCTCCTTTTCCTCCACTCCCCTCCTCCCTCCTCCTCCTCTTCCTCTTCCCCTCCTCCTCCACCTCCTGTCCTCCCCCTCCCCTTCCTCCCCTCCTTCTCCTCTTCCTCCTCCCCTCCCCTCCTCCTCTTCCTCTCTCCTCCCCCCTCCTTCTCCTCCTCCTCCCCTCCTCCTCCTTCCTTCTTCTTTTACTGTTTCGGATGTTGAGATAGACGCAAAGTTTTGGCTCTTGATCTTCTGGACCCTTCAACCATTGTCCTTTGATGCAGTTGTTTGTTTGTTGCCTCCTCCTCCCCCTCCTCCTCCTCCTTCCTCCTTCTTTTACTATTTCGGGAGCCCGGAGAGATACAAAGTTCTGGCTCTTGATCTTCTGGACGCCTCCACCATTCTTATTTCACGGAGTTGTAGCCTGTCTTTGACATATCCTCCCTCCGTCTTCTTCTGGGTCTGCCCCTTTGACCTTACTCGGTTTGTTTCCCGACTTGCCCTCTTCCCTGGCGTCCTGGAGGGAAAGAAGGAAGGCCTCTTGTCTGCCTCTCGGGAAATGATTTTGAGTCCCCAAGCAGCGACGGTGGAGTTGAGAACCTCGAACCGGCCGTAGCCGCCCCTTCCAGCTGCACCCACATCTGGACAGGTGTACTCTGTTGAGGCCCGGTGGGGAGATGAAGGCAAGAAAGTTCACCCTCGTTGCCCGTTCCTTCTGAATTATTTCCTCTCCTGCTTCAGGTACCCGTCTGGATCCGGCAGGACGTAAGGAGGTTAAAAATGCAATCAATTAATAAAGCAGCGCCTGCAGCTAGGTCTTATTTTATGGAGGCGGATGTCTGGCCGGGCTCAGTGGACAGGAAGAAGACCTTTGCAGGTGCCAAAGCTGAAAGGAGAATGTACTCCGAGATAACGGCCCATTTATTGCCTTCTGGGCATGCAGCGAAGGTTCATTCATTTACACTCTGAACTGATGAATTTCCCCACTTGGCTTTGGGCGAACACCTACGGTGCCAACTTGGAAATGAATGTCTCTCTCTCTTGGGAGGGCCAGATTAAAAGCGTCCGGCCTCCAAAATCAGCCCCTTCCCACTCCGGTTTTATCAGGAAGCTGCAGCAGCACCATTGAGCAGCAGCAGGGAGAGTGGGCCATCCCCATTGCTCCAAGTCCTGCTGGGGACCGTTTTGCGTCACCTCGCTGTCTTTCAGCCTTCAACCTTACAGGAGCCAGCAGGAAAGGAAAGGAAAGGAAAGGAAAGGAAAGAAGGAAGGAAGGAAGGAAGGAAGGAAGGAAGGAAGGAAGAAAGAAAGAAAGAAAGAAAGAAAGAAAGAAAGAAAGAAAGAAAGAAAGAAAGAAAGAAAAGGGAGGGAGGGAGGGAGGGAGGAGGAAGGGAGGGAGAGGAGAGGAAAGGAAAGAAAGGAAGGAGGAAGGAAAGAAAAGAAAGAAAGAAAGAAAGAAAGAAAGAAAGAAAGAAAGAAAGAAAGAAAGAAGAAAAGGGAGGGAGGGAGGGAGGAGGGAGGGAGGGAGAGGAAAGGAAAGAAAGGAAGGAGGGAGGAAGGAAGGAAATAAAAGAAAGAAAGAAAGAAAGAAAGAAAGAAAGAAAGAAGAAAAGGGAGGGAGGGAGGGAGGAGGGAGGGAGGGAGAGGAAAGGAAAGAAAGGAAGGAGGGAGGAAGGAAGGAAATAAAAGAAAGAAAGAAAGAAAGAAAGAAAGAAATGAGGGAGGAAGAGAGGGAGGAAGAAAGGAGATGAAGGGAGGGAAGGAGGAAAGAAAAGAAAGAAAAAGAAAGAAAGAAAGAAAGAAAGAAAGAAAGAAAGAAAGAAAGAAAGAAAGAAAGAAATGAAGGGGAGGGAGGGAGGGAGGAAGGAAGGAGATGAAGAGAGGGAGGGAGGAAAGAAGGAGAGAGGAAGGGAGGAGAGGAGAGGAAAGGAAAGGGGAAGGAGGGAGGGAAAGAGGGAAGGAAGGAAGGGAGGGAGGGAGGGAGGGAGGGAGGGAGGGAGAATCATAGTATTTCCAAAAAGCAGTCAGTCTCTGAAACTAAGCTCATAATGTTGTATTATCTGCGAAGTGAGGGTGATTGGTTTTTCCAGTGGTTTATGGCAACTGTTGAGAGTCCAGCTCTGCTCACAAAAACAAATTACTTTTTCATTAAATCATGTCGCAAGCATGCTCTTGGAGACAGGGAATAAAACACCAGCTCTGGACAGATTTTTTAAAAAAAAACAGCCACTGCTCTCCGCTTCCGTGAACTGTACTTGAGCTGGGCCTGCTCTAGATAAGCAGATCCATTTTTTTTTTCTCGCTGTACGAGACGCTCTCTGCGGAAATGCGGCATACGATACATAGACTGCTTTATCGAGGCTGACAGATGCACAGCTTTAAACAAATGACTTAAAATTTGCTTTATTGATCAGCTCCGCTGTCTTGAACCAGGCAGCCTGCTTCATTTTTAAATAATTTCGTTGTCTGGTTTTATTGCTTTTTTTTTTTTTTTTTTTTTTGCTGTAAGCCGTAAAGAATGTAATGGAGTTAAATAAGCACGGTGTCCTTAATGCCCCCTCCCCCAGGAACGTTGAAACGATGGTTCTCAAAATTCTTAGCTAAGGTGCTTTTTTTTAAAAAAAAAATTCAATTCTGCTGGGTGTTGCAGGACCACAAGCTAAGAAAGACCAGCGATGTGTCATGGTGGTTGAAAGGAAGAGTTATTTTTTGATCCTTAACTCTCTTTCAGAGTTCGAACGTTCCCCAAAGACTCCCATCTGGGCCACGACACAGTTCGCGCCCTCATGTACTACGCCTTGAAGGTGTGGAGTGACATCACGCCTCTAAATTTCCACGAAGTGGCCGGTAACAATGCGGACATCCAGATTGACTTCTCCAAAACCGATCACAATGACGACTATCCCTTTGATGGCCCGGGCGGCACGGTAGCCCACGCTTTCTTCCCAGGAGAACATCATACCGCTGGAGACACTCACTTTGATGATGATGAATATTGGACTTTCCGGTCATCAGGTATGTGGGGCAGAAAAAGGACCAAAGGGTTTGAAACCACACGTCTAGTCTAGTGAAGAGAAGGACTAGGGGTGACATGATAGCAGTCTTCCAGTACTTGAGGAGCTGTCACAGAGAAGAAGGGGTCGACATATTCTTCAAAGTCATCTGAAGGCGGGACAAGAAGTAATGGATGGAAACTTAGGAGAGAAGCAGCCTAGAACTAAGGAGGGATTTCCTGACAGTGAAAACAATTAATCAGTGGAACAGCTTGCCTCCAGAAGTTGTAGGTGCTCCAGTGGTGAGGCTTTTAAGAAGAGATTGGACAACCATATAATAATGATGATGATGATGATGATGATGATGACGACGACAACAACAACAACAACCGTGGAGGTCATCCAGTCCAACCCCCTGCTCAGGCAGGTAACCCCATACCATTTCGGACAAATGGCTGTTCAGTCTCTTCTTAAAAACTTCCAGTGTTGGAGCATTCACCACTTCTGAGGCAGGTTGTTCCACTGGTTGATTGTTCTCACTGTCAGGAAGTTTCTCCTTAGTTCTAGGTTGCTTCTCTCCTTGATTAGTTTCCATCCATTGCTTCTTGTCCTACCTTCAGGGGCTTTGGAGAATAGCTTGACTCCCTCTTCTTTGGGGCAGCCCCTGAGATACTGGAAGACTGCTATCTGTCCCCCCACGTCCTTCTCTTCATTAGACTAGACATACCCTATTCCAGCAGCCGTTCCTTATATGTTTTAGCCTCCAGTCCCCTAATCATCTTTGTTGCTCTTCTCTGCACTCTTTCTAGAGTCTCAACATCTTTTTTACATTGTGGTGACCAAAACTGGATGCAGTACTCTGAATGTGGCCTCACCAAGGCCTTGTAAAGTGGTATTAACACTTCACGTGATCTTGATTCTATCCCTCTGTTAATGCAGCCCAGCACTGTGTTGGCCTTTTTTGGCAGCTGGAAATGGTCTGGAATGGTATGGGGTTTCCTGCTTGAGTAGGGGGTTGGATTAGAAGACCTCCAAGGTCCCTTCCAGCCCTATCATTCTATGTTCTTGTAGGTTCCAATTTGTAAAGGATGGTTTTGCATGCCTTCATAGGCACCAATGTGAAGAATGGGGGAATGATAGAGTAAGAATAAGTCCAAAGGAAGATAGTCTAAAGATATACAACCATGGAGATACCATAGGATTAACAAAAAGGTCTAGATATTGCACCATCCACATCTAGAACAGGGGTCCCCAACCCCCAGTCCGTGGACCAGTACTGAGCCACAGCATGTCAGCAACTGGTCCACACAAACAAGCAAAGCCCCATCCGTGGGATGCAGGCAGCACACAAAAATACGCACCCTCCGGCCCGTGGAAAAACCTCTCTCCACGGAACCGGTCCCTGGTGCCCAAAAGGTTGGGGACCTCTGATCTAGACAACAAAGCCAGGCCGGAGTTGCAGAAGAGTTGACTCAATCATTGGGGTTGAACTTAAGAAGACATTGCACCACAATAGCAGGAGAGTTGAGTCCACCTACAGCGAAGGATGACTTTCTACCAGTCAACCATAGTAAGCAACCGTCAGGCATACCTTAAGCCAGTGTTTCTCAACCTTGACAATTTTAAGGCATGTGGACTTCAACTCCCAGAATTCCACAGCCAGCCTTGGGAGTTGAAGTTGAAGTCCTCATGCCTTAAAATGGTCAAGGTTGAGAAACTGTCAGAATCCAATTATATTTCATCTCTAGTTATTAATTATAGAAAACCCCATTTCTGCCTTCTATGGATTCTGTCATACGGTGAAGGGGAGGGGGGGTGAACAAAGGGGCTTTATGGCCCTCACTTCCTTCAGTGCACTTCAAAGGAACTGAATGTGTGTATTACCAAAATATGTATAACCATAACAATGGGGCTATTACCTTTCATGTAGTTTTCTCTGAAGAAAGGAACTGGATGTGTGTATCACCGAAAGGGCTAACCATAACAATGGGGCTATTACCTTTCATGTACTCCTCTCTGAAGTCTCCCTCCAGCCGGCAGTAAGGAAAAGGGGGTGGGAGTGTAATGCCTGAGACTGTCGCTGGAAGAAGGGGGTGATTGGGTGGGGCTACTGGGGAACCCCTTAAAACCTTGAATGGGAGAGCTTGGACCCCAAGTCCTTTTCTAGAACGCCTGCAACCATTTTCTCTTAATAAAGGATGCCTGTTGGAAGAACTATTCCAAGAGTTCTGTCTTCTTAAGATGCAAAGTGGGCTGGGTCCTTACATTACACTGCCTTAAACCAACATGTTCAGCCTGCCTAAAACTGTCTTATGGTGGATTAACGGGTATTTTTTTTTATTTTTACACTTGCAGGAGAACCTAAGGAAAAGTTAGAAGCTCCCCACTTAGGCAATAATCTGCGTGGGTCTTCCCTCTTCATTTCAGATACCGAGGGGATGGATTTGTTTGCTGTGGCAGTCCACGAATTTGGCCACGCTATCGGCTTAGCCCACATCTCTGCTACAGAGTCAATCATGAGGCCGTACTACCAGGGGCCGGTGGGAGACCCCCTGAAATATGACTTGCCCTATGAAGATAAAGTTCGGATTTGGCAGCTCTATGGTGCGTGTCAGGATTCTCCCAGCTAATCGGACGAGAGTTCATATTTTATTATTTTTTTTTTAAAAAAAAAACTAAAAAGCCATTACAGGTAGTCCCCGACTTACAACCGTTTGTTTAGTGACCGATGAAAATGGCAACAGTGCTTAGGATCTTTTTTTTTTCACACTTAGGGCCGTTGCAGCATCCCCCGGGTCACGTGGTCAAAATTCAGACCCTTGTTTAAACTGACTCATATTAATGACGTGGTTTTGTTGTGCTGCCCGCATCCCACGGATGGGGCTTTGCTTGTTTGTGCAGACCGGTTGCTGGCATGCCACAGCCCGGTACCAGTCCACGGACCGGGGGTTGGGGACCCCTGGCCTAAGGGAACATGGTGGAGGATATGATGATGGGATCTTAGAAGATGCTGTCTCTGGAAACGTTGACTTGAACGATCTCCTTGAAGCCCACTTTGCTTTCATCCGTCCTGGTTTTTCCTTTGCAGGAGTCAGAGAATCCGTGTCTCCGACGGCGAAACCTGAAATATCGAATGCAGATAACCATCCCATGTTGCCAGATTTCCCCGAGAATCACTCCACTGTGCCGTAAGCTAAACTGTACATCCCCAATTTCTTTGGGAAGGAGTAGAAGCTGAAAGGACCGTTGAATTAAGATCGGGTGAAATGTGGGTTACGAGCGAGCAGAATAGATGTTCCGCCATCCCAACCCCAGATACCATCTCTTTCATTTGGAGCAGAAAGTATCTGGATTTGCGGATCGGGCGCCGCTGTCAAGAGATGTCCTCTGTCAGACGTCCTCAGAAACAGTGGATATTATGGGATTGAAGAACAGATCTCCAGTGTTGAAATTGGCAAGAATGAAAAGAGTTTAATTTTGAGCTTGAGCCCAAAGGTAGATTTGGCCAGGCAGGGGTGAGTGGAGGATGGTGGCTTTGTTTATTTGACTTATTTTTAATCTCCTCCTTTTGCGTTTCCATCGGCCGTCCTGTACGGCAAGTATAAAAAGACACCATTGGCTGAAAGACTCTGCTCCTGTGGCTCAGGAGAGGTGGAGACCACTGGACACCTGCTCCTTCGATGTTCCTTCTATAGAACTATTCAGAAAAACCATATCCTCCCATAATTTATTTATTTATTTATGAGACTTATATACCGCTTTAAGTGCGAGCACTCTCTAAGCGGTGTACACCAGTAAGCAATGTATATATATATATTTACATTGCCCCCAACAAACTGGGTCCTCATTTTACCTACCCCGGAAGGATGGAAGGCTGAGTCAACCTTGAGCCGGTGAGATTTGAACCGCTGACCTGCTGAACACAGTCAGCTAAAGTGGCCTGTAGTAGTGCACTCTAACTGCTGCGCCACCTCGGCTTGATTGATCGGTATCCCGGTCCTTCAGAAAATATTTATCTCCAGTGGCTGCTTAAGGACGAGCAGGAGGTGATCACAGTGCAGGTGGCTAGATTCCATGCAGCAGCAGTGGGGATTGTCCAGGCTGTCTCTGCCCTGCTGAGCCCGCCAAAAGTCCCATTCTGCAAACGGCGCTGCACCAGTTGAGTAGTCCTCGACTTATGACCGGTTGAGTAGTCCCCGACTTACGACCAGTTGGGGGTCGCGGCATTAAAAAGGTTGAGAACCACTGAACTAGACAGACCTTGGTCACTAATTGATTACATCATTGACTGTAATATATTGCTGTGTCCTCTTGTGTTGGTTCGGTTTAGTTTTGTTTTATTTATGTGTTGGCCTTCGGCTGTAATAAATGGATTGATTGATTGATTGATTGATTGATTGAATCTCCTCCTTTTCATCAGGTTTAGAAGAGACGTGCCAAATAGATGCAGCACACACTTCGACGCCGTGGCCCAGATCCGTGGAGAGGTTTTCTTCTTCAGAGGTGAGCTGAGGTTCAGGCAGGGCAGATAGACAGGTAGTCCTCACCTTATAACTGTCCACTTAGTGAGCGTTCATAGCTACCACAGCAATGGAAAAAAGAAGGGACTTGTGGCCATTTTGCACTCACGACCGTTCCAGCATCCCCGTGGTCATGTGATCAAAATTCAGAGGCTTGGCAACTGACATGTACTGTATTTGGGGTGGTTGCATTGTCACAGGGTCATGGGAACCTCTTTGGCCACCTTATGACAAACAGAGTCAACGGGTTGAACGGTGGGGTCCTTGGTGGTCCATGAGCTCGGTGGTTTCCTTGCAGACGTTTCATGACCAAACTAGGTTACATCATCAGTGCTAGAAGGGAATGGCGTTTCTGGAGTGAGGAGGAGGAGGAGGAGGAGGAGGAGGAGGAGGAGGAGGAGGAGGAGGAGGAAAAAAGGAGGAGGAGGAGGAGGAGGAGGAGGAGGAGGAGGAGGAGGAGGAGGAGGAGGAGGAAAAAAGGAGGAGGAGGAGGAGGACTGTAGAGTCCTTGATGCTCTCTGAGCTTGGTGGTTTCCTTGCAGATGTTTCATAACCAAACTAGGTTACATCACCAGTGCTAGAAGGGAATGTATTTCTGGAGAGGAGGAGGAGGAGGAGGAGGAGGAGGAGGACTGTAGAGTCCTTGATGCTCTCTGAGCTTGGTGGAGGACTGTAGAGTCCTTGATGCTCTCTGAGCTTGGTGGTTTCCTTGCAGACGTTTCATGACCAAACCAGGTTACATCATCAGTCCTCAAGCAAACCCTTTTAGCACTGATGAAGTTGCCTCCTTGGGTCATGAAATGTCTGCAAGGAAACCACCAAGCTCAGAGACTATCTGGGACCTCACAGACACGAGGGATGTCAACCTCTGCTAAATTCAGCTTCCCGATTTCAGCCTTGTAATCATTCTTTCCCCCAAATCCCACCCCTGGTTAATGTTGACCAGTTTCACCTTTTCAGGCCAACAGGGCAGGAATTTCTCACCCCAGCTTAGTGCTGCCATGGACGAAACCTGAAAGTGTTGGTGGTATGCAAAGCTCATGTCATCTCCCACCTCCTCCTAACTCATGCAGCTCTCCATCCTGTCAAATGAGCTTCTGGAGCGCTTTTGAACTTTTGAGCTTCTAAATGATCGTTTAGCAGAAGAAGCCACTTAAAAAAGAACCGGCATCTCTCCCAAAGATATTGGAAACTAAATAGCGAGCCTTACCCCAACAGCATGGTAAAAGCTTCATTACCGATGCAAAAAAGATGCTGATTTAATCGCCTGAAGTTCTCGTAAAGATGCAAAGAGACCAGATTTGATTCCTGGTTCCTTCCATCTTCCATCTTCCCCCCCCCCATTCCCCTTTTTAGCCGTTAACGCAAGGATTTATAAATCCCACTTCCTGAGGATGGGGTGTTATTCCCCCATAGATCAATGTCAAATAAAGCGAAGGAAGGAAGAAGTGCAAAGTGACATGAATTTGTAGAATGGTAATTTATATATATATATATATTCTGGTTTTATTAAAACTTTTTATAGTTTTGTAACTTCCTGGTGTTCGTATATTTTATTGTTTAATATATATATATATATATTTTCTGAGGTTTTCACGGGTGTTTGTATGTAGGTCTTTGGTCATTTGGGTTTTCTCCCGCGTCAAATTGGAAGAGTCTTGGCGACGTTTCGACGAAGTCTTATTCGTCATCTTCAGGCTGGTGTTTTCGGCTTCGTGCTCCTAGAAGCATGAAGCCGAAAACACCAGCCTGAAGATGACTAATGAGACTTCGTCGAAACGTCACCAAGACACTTCCAATTTGACGCGGGAGAAAACCTAAATGACCAAAGACCTACATATATATATATATAAATCTGAGCTATTCTGCAGATGTTTCAGGGTTAGTAGTTCTGCTCTATTCTCCTCTGTTTTTCAGCCTGGGCTTAATGTCCCTCAAGAGCAGTGGTTCTCAACCTTTCTAATGCCGTGACCCCATAATACAGTTCCCCATGTTGTGGTGACCCCCAAGTGGGTGTGGCCACCAATAAGAGGGAGTAGGACAACTAGGGAAAAGGGAAAAAAATGGCAGACAGCGTGGTTTGGCGACCCCCGTGAAATGGTCATTCGACCCCAAATGGGGTCCCGACCCACAGGTTGAGAACCACTGCTCAAGAGTGTAAATACAATGTCCACAGCTGCTAAAGCTGCAGAAGGCTGATTGTCTCTTGAATATGTATTTGGAGGGGGCTACCTCAACTTACCAAACGTATTTTTGCTATGGGAAGATTTGGGCTTGCAGGCTCTGCCTTTGAGATATCAGAAATTCTTCAGAGATCCGTAAATGTCCTCAAGTGATCTACATCACTCTCTATAGCACTGGGAACAGACTTCATCCTTTTCGCTACCTTTTTGGTCTAGTCCAGGGCTGTCCAACCTTGGCAACTTAAGATGGATGGACTTCAACTCCCAGAATCCCCCAGGGTCGGGCTTCTCTAGATAAGACTCTATGGTTGCTGGAGCTCAATGGGTTGGTTTAACCAAGGCTTTAAGCCAATGTTGCTCAACCTTGGCAACCTTAAGATGGGTGGACTTCAACTCCCAGAATTCCCCAGCCCTCCACAGGCATTATAACTGGCTGGGGAATTCTGGGAGTTGAAGTCCACCCATCTTAAAGTTACCCAGGTTGGACACCCCTGGTCCAGTCACTTCTGCACAGAAGGTCTAGTGGAGTGCTAATCCTCACTTTGGGTTGCCTTATGAACAAGGCTTTCCATCCCTTGTTACTAACTGGATCTTCTCCACCCAGGCAAGTATTTTTGGCGACTGACTCGCAACAAGCACCTGGTGTCCCTTCAGCCAGCTCAGATCCATCGCTTCTGGAAGGGATTGCCTCTCAACCTGGACAGCGTGGATGCGGTGTACGAGAGGACCCGCGACCATAAGATCGTATTCTTCAAAGGTAGAAGGCAACGTCTGCCATGCTTTACGTTGGTTGACTCTCCTTTCCCCAAACGTTTGGTTTCCCCGCTGGGTTGAAAAGTTTGTTTCATTCCTTACTTGGAGATTCGTGTGGAAGGTTGTTTTCATTTCCTTAATGCCCTGTGAGCTGATGGCCATCCTTGACCTGTAGCCATATTGGACAAAGTTGGCCCAATGGAGTGAGAAGTGATTGCTTACTTACCTCTTACTTCTCCCCAGGGGACCGCTATTGGGTGTTCAAAGACAACAACGTTGAAGAAGGCTACCCTCGGCCCATCTCGGATTTCGGCTTGCCCTTAGGAGGCATTGATGCAGCTTTTTCCTGGGCCCAGAACGACAAGACCTATTTCTTCAAAGATGATCTCCACTGGTGCTACGATGACCACCAGCAGAGAATGGAGGCGGGTTATCCTTTAGAAAGCAGGCTGTGGAAAGGCATCCCCAGCCAGCTGGACGATGCCACGCACTGGTCAGATGGTGAGTTTGGACGCCCAGAGAGCTTCTTTTGAGCCAAGCTTTGCTGCAAGTAAGGAGAACGCTTAGCACATCTCCCAATTAGGCCAGAACACCAATATACATACAGGTGGTCCTTGACGTATGACCACAATTTGGGCCCATCTACTGGGGGGGGGAAGGAAGAATGTGCATGAGAATTAGTTAGACATAACAAGATCGTAGTAGTCGTGTGCGATTCAAGGTTGCTTGAAATAAGAGATGATAAGGAATGGCGGGTTGAAGAACTGGCGGGAAAGCCCGCATTTCAAACTAATTGGAGAATGTGATTTATGACTGTTAATGAGAGGAGGGAATTGTGCTTTGATACTATGTGCTCAGGGGAGGGGAATTCAGATTTTGGCTTAGCTGATGCCGTGCTACCCGAATAAAGATTCTTTAGGGTAAACAATGCCTCGAAGTTCTTTGAAGGGTTTCATCTGTCGGAACCATGACCCTGTCCTTCTTTCTGGGTCTCTTCTCCCAGGGGCCACCTACTTTTTCAAGGGCAAGGAATACTGGAAAGTTGCGGACAGTGACCTGGAGGCCGAATCGGGCTATCCCCGCTCGATTGCAAAAGACTGGCTGGTGTGCAGCGACATGCAGGCCGATGCACCAGAGCCAGCTGGGCGCTCCAGGACCAGGGGACGCTCCCAACAGGGATACCACGACGAAAGCCGATCAGAAAGTGAAGTCTGCTCCTGTACCTCGTCTTCCTCTGACTTCCGGCCTCACAGCTCCCTCAGACTCGGCGGGGTTCTGGTCTCGGTCGCTCTGTGGACAGCGGTGTTGACGCACAGACCTCTATGACCGACGGGGTTGCTGTGGACAGCAGCAATTCAGGGGTGCAAATGGATGCTGGGGTGAAACGGACCCAGGTCCCCAGTTGCAGCCGTGTTAAGAAAGCGACATCTAACATTCCTAGCAATGTGATGTGGAATTAGTTTCAAATTCTCCATGAGAAGCAAAAAGCATTTTTAATTATTATTATTACCGTCGTTGTTGTTCTGATTTCCTTCTGTTGGCTGAGGTGGGTTTATGGCTCCCTTTTTCTTTTTTCTTTTCTTTTCCTTTCCTTTCCTTTCCTTTCTTTTAGTTAACTTTCACACCAGATTTTGCAGATTTTTCACTTCCTCCCCTCTGCCCAGTCTCCCCACCATGCCTATGAATAAAGTTTCTCTACCTGCCACATAGCCAGTCATATTCCCAAGGGGTTATTTATTCTCTCTTGCTTGGGGTATTTAAAAATACATTTCCCCCCTCCACCCCCCTTTGCATCTCCTTGCAAAAAAAAAATAATAATAATTAAAAAAATCAACCTTTTAGATTCGGCGTTGACCAAGGTGGAACCTCTGAGAATTTAGTCCCCAATGAGTTGGGAAAAGTTGCAGGGTGTGATCACAATTAGTCTTTGACTTATAACCACAATTGAGCTCATAAGGGCCGTTGTTACGCCAGGCACTAGTTAAGGGAGTTTGGGCCTATTTTACGATCTTTTCTGCCATGGTTGCTAAGTGAATTGTGCAGTTGTTAAACAAATCTGGCTTCCCCCATTGTCTTTTGTTTGTTGGGACTGGGATGGGAAGGTCACAGAGGGTGATCGGGTGACCCTGGGACACCGCCACAGTCATACGTATATGCCAGTTGCCAAGCAAAATTTTTATCATGTGACCTGGGGATGCTGCAACACTTGTGAATGTGAAAAACGGTCACAACTCACTTTTTTCAGTGCTGTTGTAACTTCGACCACTAAACGAACGGTTATAAGTTGAGATGACTTGCACGGCCTAATTACGATATTAAAAGAGAGGGGGGAAATTCATTCGTTGCCAGATGAGGGCAGCAAAGATTATTAGATTTGGCAGAACAAAGCCAGAACTTTAGAAATAGAAGGGATTTTGTAAACATGGACCAGCCTATTCGGTGCAATACTGAAAAATGGCTCTGAATTTTTTTGATTTGGCATCAAAAGTCTTGAGGACTACCCTTTGTCATCAGAAAATTAAACCCCCAACTGAAAGCAGCTCCGGGAGATTTGAAAAACCCGGACCGGCGTCGCTTGAGTGGGATTGCACACAAAGTGGATTTCCCATTATTTAATCCAGGGATGTAATCCTACAATGTTGTGTTGTTTGCCTAAAAAACACACTGGGAGGTTTCCCCAGGAGAAAGCAAAAGGGAGAATGGGGCGGTGCAATCGCAGAGATGGAGACATTCTGACAATTGTGGCTTTTGAAGAGAAACGCATCTCGGCTGAAGGTTGAAGTTTTGAATTTCAACACACAAGGCGGACAAAGTAGGTAGACGGACACCTTCTCCATCGTCCAGAGTCTAAATGGAGAAATAGGTAGCGTTGCCTGTCACACTAAGCTGTGTTTTGCTAATTCTAGGTGTGGAAGAAGCCCTGATGGATTGGAGTCCTACCACACCATCCATGGTCCATTTTGATAAAGACTCCTGATCAGGTTCAGGCAACCTTTAATGTCAGATTCAAAGAAGCCACTCCGTAATTTATGTTGAGACTCTAGAAAGAGTGCTAGCAAAGACGATTAAGGAGCTGGAAACTAACACATATGGAGAACTATTGCAGGAATTGGTTATGTCTACTCTAGTGAAAAGAAAATCGGGGGGGGGGGGATATGATAGCAGTGTTCCAATATTTGAGGGGCTACCACAAAGATGAGGGGGGCAAACTATTTACCAAAGCACCAGAAGGCAAGACAAGAACAATGGGTGGAAACTAATCAAGGAGAGAACCAATCTAGAATTAGAACAGAACAGAATAGAATAGAATATGTAGAATAGATAGAATAGAATAGAATAGAATAGAATAGAATAGAATAGAATAGAATAGAATAGAGTAGAATAGAATAGAATAGAATAGAATAGAATAGAACAGAACAGAAAAGAAAAGAAGATTAGAATAGAATGGAATAGAATAGAATAGAATAGAATAGAATAGAATAGAATAGAATAGAATAGAATAGAATAGAATAGAATAATAAAATACAGAATAGAATAGAATAGAATCTGGAAGGGACCTTGGAGGTCTTCTAGTCCAGCCCCCTGCTCAAGCAGGAGAATCTACACCATCTCAGACAGGTGATTGTCTAGTCTCTTCTTAAAGATCTTCAGTGATGGGGCAAGCTGTTCCACTGGTTAATTGTCCTCACTGTCAGGGAGTTTCTCCTTAATTCCAGGTTGCTTCTCTCCTTGATCAGTTTCCAACCATTGTTTCTTGTCCTGCCCTCTGGTGCTTTGGTGAATAATGTGACCTCCTCTTCTTTGTGGCAGCCCCTCAAATACTGGAACACTGCTATCGTGTCTCCCCTATTTCTTCTTTTCTTTAGACTGGCCAAACCCAACTCACTAGCCAAGCTAAGGAGAAATTTCCTAATGGCGAGAGCAATCGATCAGTAGAATGCGTTGCCTTCAGAAGTTGTGGGTGATCCATCACTGGATGCTTTCAAGAAGAGACTGGACAGCCACTTGTCTGAAATGGTCTAGGGTCTCCTGCTTGCGCAGGGGGCTGGACTAGAAGACCTCCAAGGTCCCCTCCAACTCTGTTATTCTACAGTATGTTCTAATTCAGAGTAACATGTAATGTTAAACTTCTCAGGAGAGAAACGGTAGTGTTGGCACCTTATCTTTGATTCTTGACCAAAGTGGTTGGATTTTGTCAAATTTGACCCTTCCGAGCTTTGATTCTAGCTAGGTAGAATCTTTCCTCTCCTGACTTCTTTCTTTCTTTCTTTCTTTCTTTCTTTCTTTCTTTCTTTCTTTCTTTCTTTCTTTCTTTCTTTCTTTCCCTGCGTCTTTGATACATGATGAATGCAAACATTTGTTCCACCTGCTGATAAGGATCTTGGCAGCCAACCATAGGACAATAAAGACAAACTGGAAATTAATGGCTGGCACGGAGACCATTCAGACACTTAGTTTGTTGATATGGACCATTGCCAGCTCAACAGCTTTCCTGAAAGCCAGCAAAGTCTAGCTAGGTAAATGTCTGGAGCAATAAAATGTGCTAGCACTGCCTTTCTTAGGAAATGTGGGAAGGGAACTGCAACAATCTCCGGTTGGCATTTGATGATGGCTTGATGCTCACAATGTTCTCCTTCAATCTCCTTCCTTGGTTCGTATCAGTGAAAGTTATCATGGCTTTTCAATACACATTGTTCTTGACTTACAGTCACAACTGGGACCAGAATTTTCTTGCTAAGCAAGGCAGTTGTTAAACCTTAACACACACACACACACACACACACACAAAACCTCTCAGGCTAAGACTAACCTAGCTTAAAGTGAGGTGTGAGTTCAACCATAGAGCCTTTAACTGACCTATGTACTACAGCAAAGGAGAAGAAGGAGAAGGAGAAGAAGAAGAAGAAGAGGAGGAGGAGGAGAAGGAGGAGAAGGAGAAGGAGAAGAAGAAGAAGAAGAAGAAGAAGAAGAAGAAGAAGAAGAAGAAGAAGAAGAAGAAGAAGAAGAAGAAGAAGAAGAAGAAGAAGAAGAAGGTTGAAAGGGACCTTGGAGGTCATCTAGTCCAACCCCCTGCTCAGGCAGGAAACCCTATAGCATTTCGGACAAATGGCTGTCCAGTCTCTTCTTAAAAACTTCCAGGGTTGGAGCATTCACCAATTTGGAGGCAGGTTGTTCCACTGGTTAATTGTTCTAACTGTCAGGAAATTTCTCCTTAGTTCCAGGTTGCTTCTCTCCTTGCTTAGTTTCCACCCGTTGCTTCTTGTCCTGCCTTCAGGCGCTTTGGAGAATAGCCTGACTCCCTCTTCTTTGGGGCAGCCCCTGAGATACTGGAACGCTGCTATCATGTCCCCCCTCATCCTTCTCTTCGTTAAATTAGACATACCTAATTCCAGCAACCGTTCTTCATATGTTTTAGCCTCCAGTCCCCTGATCATCTTTGTTGCTCTTCTCTGCACTCTTTCTAGAGTCTCAGCATCTTACTTGGATCCCTAAACCTGTTTATGGAGATTCTTAATCCTCCAGGTCATGGTTGCCCCAAAGGGGCTTTTCCAAAAAGCAACTGGAATTTCTTGGGGGGGGGAGGATTTCCTTTAAAACATTGCACTTCTCATCTAAGAAGCTGAACTGAATGGACTGAAATCAGAACGGAGGAAGCTTCTCGGATGAGAAGCGAAACGTTTTCAAGGAAACGAAACCAAGAAGGTCCAGTTGCCTTTTGGAAAAAAGCACCTTTGGGGTCCTTAAACCTGGTTCAGAATTTGGAAAGTGATTTGTGCTCTACAGTTTTGTACAGGTGGAACGAGAAAGGATCTCCGTTTGGTGTTTGATTCAGGAATGGAGATAGCAGCCTTGGAAACCTACCACAAGACTCCAGAACTGGACTGGAGAATAGAATAGGATAGGATAGGTTATAGAGAATAGAGAATAGAGAATAGTGAATAGAATAGAATAGAATAGAATAGAATAGAATAGAATAGAATAGAATAGAATAGAATAGAATAGAATAGAATAGAATAGAGTATAGGATAGGATAGGATAGGATAGGGCAGAGAATAGAATAAAATAGAATCTTTATTGGGAGTAGAGTAGAGTAGAATAGAATAGAATAGAATAGAATAGAATAGAATAGAATAGAATAGAATAGAATAGAATAGAATAGAATAGAATAGAATAGAATATAGAACAGAATAGAATACAGAATAGAATATAGAGGATAGAGAATAGAATAGAATAGAATAGAATAGAATAGAATAGAATAGAATAGAATAGAATAGAATAGAATAGAATATAGAGGATAGAGAATAGAATATAGAGGATAGAGAATAGAATAGAATAGAATAGAATAGAATAGAATAGAATAGAATAGAATAGAATAGAATAGAATAGAATATAGAGGATAGAGGATAGAATAGAATAGAATAGAATAGAATAGAATAGAATAGAATATAGAATAGAATATAGAATAGAATAGAATATAGAATAGAATATAGAATAGAATATAGAGGATAGAGAATAGAATAGAATAGAATAGAATAGAATAGAATAGAATAGAATAGAATAGAATAGAATATAGAACAGAATAGAATAAAGAATAGAATATAGAATAGAATATAGAATAGAATATAGAGGATAGAGAATAGAATAGAATAGAATAGAACTGGAAGGGACCTTGGAGATCTTCTAGTCCAGCCCCCCGTTCAAGCA